AGCTCAGAGATGATCTGGACCTTCAGCCAATCGTCTACTGTTCACTGAAGCCTCATCAGAAATGTCTCCGTGATGGACGGCTGTTAGGAAGACGTTCTTAATGAAGGGAAATGGGAAAATGACGAGAACTGGACTGAAGACCAGAGGAACAGGTCTGCTGGACAGATGGATCCACATCATGGTCAGTGTGTACGAGGAGGTCAGGAGGTGGTCCGACTGTCTGCAGCCATCTGTGAGGCACGGTGGAGGTCATGGTTTCAGCTGCAGGTCAGTCAGTGGTGTTGGAGATTTTTGATAAACTCATGAATTATGAAAAGTGCCATGAACAGTATCGGTCATGGATGGGCCTCCCCAGAGCCTGGAGCTCAGCATCACTGAAGCATTGTGGGGTCATCCTGACAGAGGACACAACAAGGCAGAAACATCCAGACAGCTTTGAATGTCCTTGAAGAACCTCTCCTGAAGATCCTGCTCAGAGAGCTGAAGGATGAAGCTGCTCACACCAAATATTCACTTTATTCACTCGTTACAAAAGTACATTCAGTTTTTGCCTCGTTTACTGTGTTTCCATGTATTTTCCTACAAAACATAACCAAATGAGGGCTGACTCTGACCAGAAATATGTGGAAACGTCCACTCAGCATTCATTTTACTGACACTGCAGGTGACAGGTGTGTGTGCTCAGATACCTCCGTGATGCGGTGCAGGTGCGACGATCACACCCCTGGTGTCGACCTTGGGGGAGTTCTGTCCATACTTCCCGTCATCGCTGCTAATCACATGGATGGCGTTTCCTCGCCCGTCCAGCACCGTCGCATTCACTGTAGCGCTCACCGACTCCTCCACCACCATGTTTGTGTCAGAGCGCCCTGCTGACACAGAGCGAGCCTGCACCGGGACCAGGACCAGGACCGGGACCAGGACCAGGACCGGCGGGAGGGGTAGACGGGTCCGCATCCTCACAGCGTCTCCTGGTCACATCCAAACTGTGAGAAAGAGAAACAAAGTTTATGAGCAGGGCAGCAGCAACGGCTCGGGAGCTTCCTCTGCTTTAGGAAACAGGAAGTCCTCAGCACTGTGGATTTATCATTTATCACCGTGAACGAGACGCGGGCTCTCACCTGTCACTGAGAGTCTGTCCTCCAGATGTTGGTCTCTTTGTTTACATTAATCCTCCGGATGCTGTTTCCCGGTTGGCTCTCCAGAAGATGATGTGTTATTCCTCTTTTGTCCTCCAGATGATCCTTTGTCTCCAGATGTGAGCTCGTGTTCGTTAATCTCTGGGTTCAGGCTGGAAGGTGCAGCTCGGACATCTGGAAGGTCGGAGCATCAGCAGCAGGCCAACATCTGGTGTTTGCATCCCGGAGCCTCGCGCTGGTTGGAGCCCGGATGGTAGCTCGGAGGTCGGGGCAGAATAGCTCGTTTTCAGCGGACTGCAGCCGCCTGCGGTTCCGTTAACAGTGACTGAGCCTCCGCCGTCTGCCGCCAGTTGCAGGCAGACACACCGGCGGGCTCCCGCTCACCGCGCTCCCCCGGAGGTTCGGTGAAATGCTCGTGAGAGGATTTGGCTCGTGCTCGGTGTTTTTTCCGGTTTGCCGCCGGTGAAAGCTGCGCTCTGCGGAGGATCGAGCCCCGTCTCCGTCTCTCCGATCAGCGAGAACTGCGCAGGCGCACACTGAGGGGCCCGGGCTTCATGTTTTGTAGCTGAGATTTGGATCAGCTGTCGCGATACCTGCAGAGAGGCGGAGCTAATAGTAACAACGACGACGATATCGGCTGTATCCCAATTCAGGGTCTGCAGCCTTTTTTTTTTTTTTTTAAATATAAAACTTTATTAAGAATACAATCAGAACAAAATTAACATATGCCAGGGGGTGTAATACAAAGAATTACAAACATTCAAATAATTTGTAATTACTACAAATAGTAATAGTTTTCATAGCCTTTTTGTTAAGTGACCCACTAATCAATT